ATTCAAAGCAATTCACAGTTTGACAAATGATTGTTATTATTGACAATGGCTATCCACCTGTAACTATCCGTTAATGACAAAAAACTTCATTGCCGCTTTGACTTTTCATCAAAAAATTGTAGAAGAGAACTTTTTTAATATTAAAAATTTTTGTAATTTGAAGCAAAGATCGTAATTTTTCTTTTTGAATGCTTAAGTATTCCAATATGCTTCCAATTAAACATGGAACACTTTCAAAATAATGCTAAATAGCAAAGTTGAAATTCGATTTTCAACTGTTAATATCTTCTAGAAATTATCGAAAAAAATTTCCTGAGCCCCTATTAACCATTAAAAGGAATGACGCAAATTTTGAATCACCCCGTATTTTTTTTATTTCCAAACCACGCATATTTTATCCATCTTTGGAATATTATTTGCTCTAAATACTGGCCAATAAAAGTAGAAATTTGAAGTGCGGAAAAGCAGTCAGTGAATATAAAGCTAATGAATAAAAGCGAGATGGCCCTGTAAAAAAATAATTTTAACAAGTTTAATAACCGTACAATTTAACTCTTATTAAAAGTTATCCATTACTATATTTTTTATTTCCCAGGAAAGAAAAAATATAATAACAATTACACGCAGTTAGGAAAATAAATCAAAATAAAGAAGTTCTCTTAGTCTACGTCTCTACGTCGTCTACTAGAAGCATCTCTTACGTCTTTTCATTACTTGCCTCCGTCTAATCACAAATTGCGATTGATTTAAGGCAGTTCTATGTTTATTAGCGAAAATTGACGTGATATAATGTACATTTCTTGACAAATATTTATTTGTAGATCATCGATTTCTACAGCATAATATACGTTACAACTTTGCATCGATTCGCTTTTCCGGGCTTACTTAACCGTAAACGACATCAAACCAATGAAAACAGATCAAATTATAACAAGGCAACCCTGGTATTCATAATTTGATATAATCGAGATTTAACAAAATTAAGAGGAAGAAGCCGGAAACAAAAGTAGGTACGACACCCAGTAAAACTTGAAGATATTCCAACACCAAAACTGAGCGTCTGACTGCAATTGAAGATTTAATTCAAAATGCTGAATGGGAAAACCATTGAAATAGACGAAAACTTTAGACACGAGAGATTTTGAACGATTCAAATATGTACTCGGATAAGACCCTTGCATATTCACTTAAATTTATTTAATTTCTGAAAAGAGAATGCTCTGTTTTTCTTTTCAGTTTTCTGCAAAAATATAATTTCTCTTCAGGTTCAATTGTACTGATTGGACGTCAGTAAAAAGGTATTATGATGATGATGTCATTTAAAACAAAAGCCGCTTGGTTTATTTTATTATTATTATTAGCCGTAACTTAACAAACAAAAGAATTCGCACGCCAAAAAGGCAAAATGTATATACGAGCTTCAATTTAATAGTGCACATTCAATCGAATAAATAAATCATTGTTCACATGGCGTTCAATTTTCAAATGCATTTACCCTATTAATGTAAAAATAAGACATGGCAGCACCCCTGCCATATGAATTGCACGCGATCGATTATTCACCGCATTGTTTGCGAACTGAAATCAGAATTCGAGAAATAAATAATAAGCTAAACCACCCAAGGCCTTTAACTCCAATTTACATTGCGGAACGGAAACAAATAGCCTACATTAAGCATAGTAATACGGAGCTGCAGAACACATATATACATAAGGTAATTTGATCCCTCGTTAAAAGCTAACTGGTGTAATGGCTTTCTATGTTTCGACCTGAAAGATAATTGTCTAAAACAAACATGCTCAGTGATACTTCTGGATGCGTTGCTATAGTGCTTGAATAACTCTCAAGGCCCTCAGGGGGTATCAAATAAAAACAAAGTTAATCCCAAGAAATTGTGGACTCATTTGGAGCATACAAATAACTTATTTAATTAAAACTTCCAAAATGTTAGCTGGCTGGTTCACAGCTCACATGTCAAGCTGCATCTGTAAATTTGACTTCTAAAAAGCTGATGACACAGATTCAAACTAGGCACAACTGGAAGAAACACAGATATAAAATGATGAGTAGTGAATGGACGCAATTCATCTACGATCACTCAAAACATGTCTAAGTAAAGCGAAGGAAAAAAATAGAGACGTGATAAAAATATTTTGAGCCAAAGATACGAATTTCATGTTTCAAAGTTTATCAGATGTAGAAAAATGCATTATAAAAGAAAATGAACTTATCAAAGACCCTAGTAAAAAATTTACCTCCGACTTAAAATGTTCCAAAATACAGTCGAGAAATATCGCGTGATACATTTCTTCAATATTCCCGTAAGTGTACTGATTTCTTCTATAAAATTGAAGAAATACTATCAACGGAAGATAAACTAAAAACAAATTTCGAGCACCCGTCACGATTGCGGAGTGTAAATTACAACGTCTATGTCTTGATAAAACATTTATTAGTACAGTTATTCAATAACTCTTCAACTTAGAATTTAGTTTTTGATTGTTTTGGCTCGTTATTTTTCGCTCTGCTATTATACGCCACGTAAATATAAAAACTATCCAGTCGGGCTTTATCTAAGCCTTTCAAAGCATCTCCGTTGAGTTCTAAATACGCTAGAATATTTCTGTATAAACCGATAGTTACAGATACTTAACTGTTTTCTGTCGGTAGTTAATTGTTGCATAGATCAGACAGAATTTAGGTAGTAACTGCGTTCTAAATGTTCATCTAGTAGTTCTTGAACAAACTGAACTTATTACAGCCATCAATTTTGCCTTTTCGCAAACACGAGTAAATGCTGTTTACTGCAAAGTTACTAGCAAAATAATTTTTTGTGCGAACTTTTGGAGTGGCTACTGTTTTGATATACAATAATGCCAGTACATCTTTCCTCATTTTAGCATTCTGATTGTTAAACATGTCACACACTCGCTCACGTTTATACGCGAGCATGTTTCGAAAAACGATTGCTTTATTTTTTACTGAGTCGAGTCGATATTTTACCACAACCCTGTCTGTACACACACTGTGTCCGCTCCATTAGATATATCGATATAATTAACAATTCGGTTCACGTTCACTAATCTGACTCATTGTTATACGTTTGTCCCTACTATACATATTATAAAGAAGTGAAGTTGGAAACCATGCTTTATTCTTTTTCGAATTAAATTTGTACAGTGTGTCCATAAAAAAAGGAACACATTAAAAATCTGGGAATTTTCTTTTAAGAAAATATTCGGACTTTCATTTTATTATTATTAAGTAAGAACTTATTTTTTTTATTCTTCAAATACAGTGATGCAAAATTGAGATTCGACCCTGAATTTGACGATTCCAAATGGAATTATTCTTTTATTAGATTTGAAGATTCTAGGAACATAAATTATCCAATATTTTTTATATAAAATATTCTACGTCGATATTTATCCAGTTTTGAGGAAATGGTCTTTGAAAGAAAAATATTGATGATAAAAAATAAGCAGCAATACAAATCAGACTGACGTTTAACGTTAGGAATCGTGAGGAATCTTTGTTTATGTACAGGGTGATTCAAAATTGGCATTATTCCTCTGGGGGTGTTTCGGGAGTACAAGAAAAATAGTTAAAAAAAGAGTGGTTATTAATAACAGATATATGTATTTGCAAAAAAACTAGTTCAGAAGGATGGCAACAATGTTTTTCAAGGTAAACTGCCACATTAACATTACATAAATATCTGTTACTTCTTAGTTATTTCAAACTGTAGAAACATAAACACAAGAAAAGGAAAATATTTGGACGTTAGGATAACCTTGTTACTATTGTCAGTTGGGGAAAAACAGCATAGTAACTCACACTTTGACAAATTATTGTTATTATTGACAAAAGCTATCTACCTGTAACTATCTGTTAATGCCAAAAACCATCACTGCCGTTTTGACTTTTCATCAAAAATTTGTAGAAAAGTTCTTTTTGAATATGAAAATTTTTCGTAATTCGAGGTAAATAAGGTAATTTTTCTTTTCAAATGCTTATGTATTTCGATAAGCTACCTCTTAAACATAAGACCATTTCAAAATAATACTTAATAAAAAAGTTGAAATTCGATTTTCAACTGTTAATAACTTCTAGAAATTTTACCCTGTATAGAGTCCGATATACTCTAGTCACTCTAGTGAAATATTATTTAGGCGTAATAGGGGTAAAAATGCATCAAATCTTTTATGAGTCCTTTTCAATTTTCCCTGGTACATCCACAAAGGTTACTCCCGTTCATTGCGGAATGGATTTTTCCTCTAAACGATTTCTTTTTCTTAACTGGAAACTGGAAAGCTATTACCTTTGTGTTTATCAGACGTCAGACTTTCAAAATAATATTTGTAGTCAGCCAAGCCAGGCTTCTAAATTTTTCCAGTTTCTTTCTTTTTGTCTCCTCTTTAAGGTTTTATCCACTTCTAGTTGCCGAGCAATGAAAAACAGAATTTCTTGGTTTGACAATGGAAATAAATGTTTGTCTAAACTTATCTAGGATTTATTGAAGTTGCTTGGAAATGGATTCCACCGCTTTACAATGGAGAGATGAGCATGACTGTTATTTGATAGCGTTAATTTGATTTAAAATTTAATAGATTTAAAAAATACATTTTATATTGACTCGGAAGAAAGTCATACAAAACGACACAACTAAGAACGAAATCTGGAAAATATGTTTCTTATGTACACAAGTACGAAAGAACTTGTGATGTATTTAAATTCTCTTTTCAGTGTTTCATACTTCGTACATGAGGTATTACTTTCAAAACTATGCCTAACCAACTGAAAATTATGTGGTTAACCTACTTTAAATTGTAAATGTAAAAACGCATAATAGTCGTGTACGAATTTCGTTATACAAGAACATATATGATAAAAATGTGTGGTATACAAGGCACTAATATTGTGGACGTATGTGGCGTAACAAAAGAGAAGTGAAAATGTGTAATGTATAACTCATTTATCAAAAAATAAAAATTCTTACCTTAGGATCAAAATTAAAAACTGTGTCATATTTAAAATGACACTCAAGGCCGCACTTGCACGTCCCAGATGTAAGCAAGTACTCCTTCACTTGTTCCAAAGAACTTAAAGCTGTGTTACTGGGACTGAAACAAAATAGAAAAAATATATAGCAAATGGTTTCTAAATTGTATTATATAGGCATATATAATACAAAACAAGGTGGTTCCAAGTGATAGACAAAAGAGGTCTAAAGAAGTGCGCCAAAATAGTAAACATTTTAATAAAATGTGGTATCGTGTTTTTGTTGAACGAAAAAATATTTCGTTTGTTCCATTGATTTTTTAAGTAAAATTATAATTATAGTAATAAATAATTGTAACAGTAGCAATTCTGAATATTTACATATTACAATAAACATTGCGTGCATCTTATGGTTCTTAAGGTTCTTATGAAAACTGCGGTCTAGTTTCGGCCGCATATTTTATATTTGTTTCAAGCATTGCAAAGTAATGAAAACTTCTACTTCTAACTACTTCTGATCAAGAATGTACTTACGTACCTTCAATGTACTTCGTACCAGCAATAATTAGGGAAAGTTAGAGTTTTGGAACAATTTAACGACCACTTTGCCAAATGATGATAAAAAATAAAACAAAGATGATAAATGTTACAATTAATGTGTGCAAGGTTATTTACTTGCATGGCCTATTCAACGTACATATTTATTAGATATGACGTAAATAATAGGCTGCTTTAATTCATTTCAACACGAATATCTTATGGAAAGATTGATCGAAGTAACTGGGCTGCATTTTCTCACTTAATATGAATGGGAAAGTTAGAAACCGTATTACAATCACAGATAAATAAGTTCAGATTATGATTATCTTACAAATTAGGTTCAGATTTTGAAACATTCCATAAATTTGTGAGTCTTAAGTTTTTAGTTTAACTAATTTTAAATACTTTGTGTCCAATAAAAAAATTCTCTCAAGTTTTTCCAGTATAAATGAATAATTTAGAGAAGAGTAATTCATTGCAAATGGGAAATAAGGTCGAGCGTTTGCAGCGTTTTAAAATTGGGTCATTTGGCGACATTAAGCAATATAAAGCTTTCATAGGTCGAGCGATTAAACGTTATAATAGGAACTTACATTTCCTTATTTGCCACAAATTAAATACCCTATTCAGACTGCTAAATAATCGGTTTATTATTCAGATATACAAAGGATGTTTCATGGGGAAGGGGCATTATTTTAACCATGTATTTTAGATCCGAAAATAACCCTAGTTCGCTATATAAACGATAGTCCTTAAATTGCGGCTTTTTAATTTAATGCATGAAATACAAAATGATAATTTTATTGAGATATGAAATAAAATATTTATTGATCGCTATTCATTGAAGAATCAACCATACTTATATTTGAAACGAAATATGTAATCAGATTATGTTCTAAACAGGAAAAAAAAACATATAAATTTACCTGATCCTTCTCTGTATCAATTTCGACTTGACAACTTCACTCTATTCAAATAGTATTTATATTTAAATTTGACGGTCATGTATCCAGATGTTCCGATCGTACAATGGATTGGAGAGCCGGATTCTAAACAATCGAATGGGTTGTATACGCTTCACTGACTATAGAAGTGTATTTGGTCTCCAGAAAACAAAGACGAAGAAACCGCTTTGTTTTTATTGCTCTTAACACGGGCAAATTGTATATTGAGCAAATAGAAAAGTTTTTTTGTGCTTTTGTCTCAGAGTAGTAAGGCCATTGAAAACAGAATTGGTTTTAAGAAGTTAAATAAAAGCGACACCACCTTTCATTTTAAGATTTTCCAGTAGCAACACGTTTAGTTAGAGATCAGCTTCTGCTCAGTTCTTGATTTACGCTGGATAAATAAATTGTAAATACTAGGGGAAAATGAATAATGTGCAATGCTAATAGCACATTGCAATACAGGAAAATATAAAAATCATTAAAACATGCTTATACCATATTTTTATTTATTAAAAAGTTAGTCAAACTTATCAATAAGTTTGCAAGTTCATTTTTCAGTTAAATCCCCGAAGATTCTCAAATCAATATCACTTAATCGAAACAAATTTGTAAAATTGTCTGTTAAATTTAACCCATTTACGGGAGAAATTCTTAAATTAACATATTTTGCTTTTGCATTAACAGTGTATGCTTTCCCTATAAGAACGGAAGTTGACTTAGTGTAAAGAATGTCCTTGCTGCGTATTATTTTAAAAACACACCTGATTAGACGACGAAACAATAGTTACAATTCTTGAATATAATGCAGTTTAGAAAAATCGTGTGCATTTAAAAACGTAAAATAACAATCAGACTCTTATTTACTATTAACCCTTTGGTGTTTCTTCGATCTGACTATTATGATGAAACGCAGGACTCGGTAAAAACGGCCTGTCCGGCAAACTGTTTACGAGAGAAAAACGAAAATGTTTAACAATACAATTTATGAGAAACGAGAAAATAAAAGCGGCTGATATTTAAAAATTATGGTATATTTGAGCAATTTTTTGACACATTACAAAAAAATATTTTCTTTATATGGGATATTCCTATATAAACGGATTTGTGTAACTTATTTAGCTGATTTTGGGCATAAAATTTCATATAAATGCAAACGCTTGGTTTCTGATCTACAGAGTGTTAACGTGTAAAGATTTGTACTCTCTTTTATAAATCCCGGATTGCTTTAGATATTTAGCTCCACATTTTTAATGTCTTAAGCTTTACAATTTACATATTAAAAATGCCTTATGTTTTTCTTTAAAGTTATTTGCTTGTTGTTGTTAATCTTCAACACAAAATGGAAGATGTGTGATTGATTTTAAAACACTGCTCGGGGTTTTCCGCACCAGACATTGAAAGAAATTAAAATTTAATTTAACAGTCAACTTAGAATTTTTAAAAACTTTTTTGCATGAGGGAATTAAACTACCCACTAAGATCACGAAATTGAAAATGAAGACATAAGAAAATATACTTTTCAGTACATTCAGATAGAAATGATGATCGTAGACATTACATATTTTTTAACATTTTCACTGTCATGTAAAACGGATGCCCATTTAAGGTTCAAAATTCCGAATAGATAGACCAACGGTTTTTTTTACGAATAAAGCAGCAAAAAGCATTAAAATGACCTTCATTAATTATTCACTTGGAAATAATAGCAAAACTAGTATATATTTAAAAAGTTAGTGTTTCTGTTAGTCCGACCCAGTGAAACGATTTAACACGCTTATCATTATTTCAATCTATCGTATGTAGTTCAGGCAACCTATCAACCCAATTGTTCATAATTATCATGGCGATGTAGGTATTTGATGAAAACAATTTGATTGGTAATAACATAAACCAAAACGCAATCAATCAAAACACATATTTTCCAAAGGATGTACCCCCGAAAGATGTTAGACTGGATATGGCTAACACACTATGTAACTGGTGATGAAAAAATATCGCCTTCAACACGTTTTCGTTCATTAAAAGTCACGAAACTAATCTTTATATGAGATTTTGAACATGTGTACCTATGAGTGTAGGCTAATGCCACTAAAGAAACGGCAACATTAGAAATTGCTACTTAATTAGGGCAGTTAGTGAAAAAGAAATTGTTTTTATATACGGTCTTTAGGCCATGGCTCGAAATGCCTCTTAAAAATTAATAAGAATAATGTTGCCGGTGATTAAACAGTTACGATGTTGGCTGATGTTTGAAAACTACTATTTTCCCTATAACTACTATTTCTAAAGATTGACTCTGATCCGTAATATAAATTGTACTTCATTGAGTAAACTTTCTCAAAACTAGTTTGAATATGAGTATATTTAGTATTTCTTGCTCCAAACTGAGAAGTTTTAGGACTAAATACCATCAGTTACGAGTAAAAAATCGAAAGTATCACGTAATACCAAGCAATTGTAACAGCAAACTTACTGCTTATGTGATCAATTACAAATTAATTTTGTCTAGTGAAAGTTTGAGGGGTAATTTTTTAGTAGACGCTTAAGCATAAACGATCCCATCGAACCGACATCTCAAAACTCATTTCATACAATATATTTTTGTAGTCTAAAATAACTAATACGTATTTCATTAATTTGTATAATAGCTCACAAACATTTATTTTGTATCGTCTTCCATTCATATTCAATATATTTTAATGGTTTTTTTCGATTACTATCAATTCTAAATTCAACTAATTCTAAATACAGTAATTTATTATGTTCCTTGATTTGCTTCTTATGGATAATATTAAATTAACCCCAATGAACGAACCAAAAGCGCCTTTTAAGACTCACACAATCTAAGGGCTTCGCTCTATTAATAGATAATTTCGACAGGGTTTGGCGTAAGTAAATAATATCGTGCCGACAGTAATCTCCGAGCTTCAGGGTTAATTCAGATGATTAATATTTGACATAAATCTTACTATTGTGCTGTTCATCTCAAACCACCCCTAACGTCGAAAACTACAAGTTAGAAAAGAAGGTGTATTAGAATGTTGTTTATTTGATTAGAATTGCTCAGCTAATTTACAAAACATGTGTAGAAATATAGTACAGATGGTAGAAACGACAAAATGTAAAAAAAAACTATTATTATGTAACACCTCAGTATTATTATTATATGCTTCTTGTGATATGAGGTCCTGACGCTTCAAAATTCGCAATTTTGAGTAGTGAACAAAAGTAGATAAGGCATACGTTTAAAATATAGTAAACAAAATTAAGCTAAACTCTTTTTCGATCAGTCAAGAACAACGGAAACTTGATTGGAATTGGAAACCCTTGCTATCCCAGAGACCAGTAAAAGTTAGATTCATAGTTTTATAAAATTATTAGCGTATTTCTATCTTTTCACATGTTTATTCTAGTTCATTGTTCAATTTAATAAACTTGCTAGCTAAGGTTAATCCCAAGTTTCTCCAACACGTATCTATGTGCATCAGTGAACTGAAGAGTTTATCTAATAAATTTCCCTTAATCACAGGGCGAAAGCACAACCAATACGAAATCGATCAAAGGTTTAGAGTGATTTATAACAATCAGTAAATGATCGTGTAGCGTGCAAAGTGTAATCTATCATAGGCGGGGAA